TGTGGTAGGATATTTGGTGATGAAAAGACAAGAGAATTCCTGTCTAACTGATTCTACTTCTCAATTAAGTTTAAGACAAGGTCACATGCTACAGGTGAGGCTGAGAGTGAGTTTGAGAAGAAGCTTGTTGTTGTTATGTGACGTCAAGTCAGACCTGACTCATAGCGACCCCTTCTGGGGTTTCCGAGGCAGTATCACTCTGGAAGTAGATTGCCCAACCTTCCTCCTGAGGAGTGGCTGGTGGGTTTGAACTGCCAGTCTTCTGGTTAGCAGTTAAATGCCTTAGGCACTATGCTACCAGAGCTGCTTGAGAAGAAGCAAAAGGTATGAGATCCTCTTACTGAAAGTGGGAGAGGGAACATCCTAGAAAATGGTGAGTGCAAGTGTGAGGTGTCCTTCGGAGCTGCAGGCTCATGTATCTGAAGGGAAATCTGTCCAAACAGAAGTGTTTGACCCCATTCACATGTAAGTGCTTGATTCAGGGCTTCACAACCGTACATTCTGGTTCAACCCCCTGCTGAGAATTTGCGTTTCCACCCTGGGTATATTGATTCAGAATCGGAAGTTTAACAAGATCTTGAACTGGTCAAAATGTGATGGACCAGTTCCAACCCTAGCTTGAACACAGGCACAGATTAAGCATCTGGTTTAACTAAAGTCAAGGCTTTGCCACGTGAGTACAATAAACAGAAAGTGGGATAAGATAGTTAACAGTGTTGTAAAATAATAATTATAATGATGGACCACTGAGTCTAAACTGGAAGGCTACTCACTGCTGTTGAGTCGGATCTGACTCATAGCAACCCCTCCTTGGGTTTCCGAGGCGGTATCACTACAGAAGTAGATTGCCCAACTTCTTCTGAGGAGTGGCTGGTGGGTTTGAACCTCCAGCCTTCTGGTTAGCATGATGCAAGGTAAAATCAAAGTCCCAATGAGGTCAAAGAATTGTTGGTGTGGCAGTAATAGAGAAAGCAAGCTGCAAGATCTTGAGGTAGAGTTCTAGAGATGGTTCCAGCACACTAAGGAGTAAAGTTAAGACAAGACCATGACAGTGGACAGCATGATCATGGAATGCATGGCTGAGGTGGAGTGGAGGAAAAGGAAGTCCATTAAGAAGTAACGGGTCACTATTTATAAAAACGCACACATTAAGTAGCTGCTGAGGCTGCTTATATACAGCAAAAACTTCATGGGATTTGGTTTCTTGGTTTGGAGGTTGAGGATCATGGTTTCATGGGATATCCGAGTTAAATGGTTTAATAACGTGATTAGCGCTTCTATTCTTCCTCCTAGTTCGTTGTGTAGTGCCTGAGGTCTTAAAAGCATTCAAGCAGCCATCAAGGCACAACTGGACTCTATTCACCTGAGTAATAGAGAAGAAGGAGAGTCAGGAATAGAAGGAAGAAATGGAATATGTGGCTAATTGCCTCCATGAACAATTTCCTCCTTTACCATGAGACCAGAACTGGATGGTACCTGGCTACCGTTACTGAGCATTTAGATTAAAAGAATCTATAGAAGAATCTTGATCCAAAGGGGGGAAATGCAGAACAGAATTTCCAATTCTCATGGACTCCAGACTCTCTGGAGCCAAGGGGGTTGGATGAACCTCTAAAACTATTGCTGTGAGATAATCTTTAAAACTTAAACCAAAAATATCCCCTGAAGTCTTTTTAAAACCAAGTAATAGTTTCACATCACTAGTAACAAAGGTCTGCCTTGAGTACTGTGCTCTTTTAAGAACTATCTACATGGGATCAAACTGACAGCAGCAACTCAAAAGATTAGACAGGAAGCTTAGGGGGCAGTGAGTTTATCTCAATGGGGGAGGAACAACTCAGAGAAAGAGAGCGGTTGCACAACTTACAGAATGTCATCAATGTCACTGAATTATACATGGAGACATAGTTGAACTCGTGGATGTTTTGCTGAGTATGTTCCCAACAACAACAAAATGAAACTTTGAAGAAGAAACTGAGAGGACCAAGTGCCATAAACATGGAAGCTGAAGCCATCAAGAATGGAGTCCTGCTTACCAGTGGTCTGGAAAGCTGTGAGTTGGGTTCTAAAGTCATCAATGAATGACAATGACCAAGAGGTCAGGAAATGTCAGAAACAAGAAGGCATTAACATACTGTATAGTCTGGTGGCATGAACTGCAAAGGAGAGAGGAAAAATGGCTTGAAAACTGTAACACAGAAGATGGAGAACCATACCATTTAAGGTACATGGAGTGTGAAACAAGCAAAAATATACAGTGTCTATTTGAAAGAGTTACAGGGAAAGAATCAGGAAACAGTCAGACTTTAATTAAGGAAAAGATGTGAAAGAAACTTTTCAAAGAGAGACAGAGAATAAAGAGGGTACCATGGAACAGTTCAAGAATGAGAATTTCGGACTTCCGGTAAGATGGAGGAAAAGGTAGACAAGTGACACAGACCCTCCTCAACAAAAAAAAGAAAAAACAATTGACAGAGACACAGAAGATAATCCTGGAGCTCTGAGCTCTGAAAGGAACTATGCAAAAGTGGATTAGGCACCAACTACTGAAAAAACCTGAACGAAAACAGAGATGGTCGGAGCTGTGGACTGTCAGCTACTCTGACGGGACCAACAGCCTGAATATTTCCAAATGGTAGTGGGACCTGAGAATTAACCTAAAGATCAATCCTGGTCACCAAGAGCTATAGGGACGATTGCGCTGGTGGAGGGCGCAGCCATTTTGATTTACATGGGGCAGCCATTTTGGATATTTAAAGTGACTGAGGGCACAGCCATTTTGAATGTTTACAAATGGCAACCATTTTGGATTTTAAAGTGATAGCATTCTCATTCGGATTCCAGGGACCTAAGAATAGGCTCAGGAGCTCTGGTAGCATAGTGCCTAAGGAACTTGACTGCTAACCAGAAAGCTGGCGGTTCAAACCCACCCACCACTCCTCAGAAGGAAGATGGGGCAATCTACTTCCGTAGTGATACTGCCTCGGAAACCCAAGGAGGGGTTGCTGTGAGTCAGGTCCGACTTGACGGCACATAACAACAACAACAACAAGAATAGGCTCTGTTCGCCAAGGTTGGCAGGGACATACGAGAGGCTGACAACAGGAAAGGAGACAGGTGGTAAATGTATAAGTGCTGTCAACAGAGGAACACAGACCCTGTTTGTATAGATAACATACAAACAAAAGAAAATGAAAATCATGGGAAAGTCACTCCAACATACAATCACCAAATAAATATAAACACAAAAACATCACAATGCCTCAGAGACAACAAAGCATCACAGTCCACACAAAGAAGCAAGAGAAAGCAGGAAAAACAAGGGACCAGGATACAGACCCAAAACACATCCCTGAGGAAGACGCAGCATTGGAACTTCGTGATAAGGAATTCAAAAGAATTATATTTAGGTATCGTCAATGGATTGAGAGACAGATCAAGGAAAACACAGAGAAAAACCCTAGAACAATTGCAAACGACAATGTAAGAACAAAATGACAAAATAAATGAAAACTTAGAAATGATACAAAATCTATACACAGAAATCCAGAAGATTAATACTAAATTTTCAGAAATAGGTAAGACATTGAAGGGGCAAAGGAGCAGAATTGAATGAATGAAAGACAGAATGAGTGAGATTGAAGGCAAATACCTGAACACTTCTATGGAAAGGGATCAATCAGAAAAAAGATCAAAACGAAATGAGAAAAGCCTAAGGTTCATGTGGGATACCATCAAAACAAATAACCTATGTGTCATCGGAATTCCAGAACAGGAAGGGAAAAATAAAACCACAGAGAAAATTGTCAAAGATTTGTTACAAGAGAATTTTCCTGGTATGATGAAAGATGAGAATATATCCATTCAGGAAGTCCAACGAACCCCAAACAGGATAGAACCCAAAAGAAAATCACCCAGACATATCATCATCAAACTTAGCAAAACCAAAGACAAAGAATCATGAGAGCAGCATGGGAAAAATGAAAAGTTACCTACAAGGGGCAATGAATAAGACTAAGCTCTGATTTCTCGACAGAAACCATGCAGGTGAGAAGACAATGGGATGGTATATATAAAACACTGAAAGAGAAAAATCTCCAACCAAGAATTATGTACCCAGATGATATAACCCAGAAACCAACACAGCTACGGAAGTATCTAAAGGAAATAAGCCTAGAAGATTGTAAACAGGGAACCAGAGACATCAATTGACTGATGAGGACAACTACAAACCAAAAAGAGGGAAAAAACTTTGCCATTACAGAACTTCTAGATGGTAGGGAAGTCAAAACAACTACAAGACAGAATGGACTGTTCTAAACTTGGGAAGAATATAAATCACAGGGTAACCTCAAAGAAAAATGATAAACCTTCACATTAAAAAAGAGGACCACCATAAATATTCATCAAATACTAAAACAATAGCAATGAAGGAAGTGATAACACGATTCAAAAACAAAATGAGCTCAGCACAGAAAATCATACGGAACAAAGAAATCAACACCATGAAAAAGCACATAACAAAAATGACAGCAACAAATCCGTATTTGCCAATAATTCACTAAAGAATAATGCAGAGTCTGCAAACCACCACATAATATATATGAACTTGGAAGACATTATGCTGAGTGACATAAGTCAATCACAGAAAGACAAATATAGTATTAGTTCGTTGTTGTGGAGGCTCAAGGAAAGGTCTATATATGAAGGGAAACTTTCTTTGTTGGTTGCCAGGGTGGGGGGGAGGACAGGGAACACTGCAGAAAAAAAAAATGCATTGAACCATGTCACTTTAGTTTTGTGTATTTCACTGTACATAAATTATATGTCAATAAAGTACACTTAAAAAAATGAGAATTTCCAGTTAAGGGGCTCTGAAATCTGCACTATTAAAAGCTCTGTCACGTTATTCTGATAAAACCCTGAAACAAGTTCAACGTACAAGAGCCACAGTGTATCTCAAAACAATTTTAAGATAAAGTTCACAGACAGGTGCTTACCTCTATTTCTGTGATTTTCTCAGAAGGATTATCAATTAGGAAACGTGCTAATGTCCCAGGGGTGGTTCTGTAAGTCAGAATGATTGAGTTTTTAGGGTCCTGACACCACTGAATAAACAAGTCCCTTGAAAATCCACATTCCAGGTCAGGTTGGCTGGCAAGGACAACTTTGGGGCTAGGTACTCGAGCCAAGTCAGAAAGACCGTGACATAAAGAGAGATGGCGAAACTGAAATGGATTATTTCTTTTGTCTTCAAAACATCTCATCAATTTATCACTCATCCATTCTACCTGATATAGGAAACAGAGAACATTAATTAGCAAATACCCATAGTATCTTCAATGTATTCTACAACAGTCAACGAGCTCAAGTTCTCTCCTCTTGTTTTATGCTAGCAGCTTGTTTTCTGCATACAACACTACTCAATCGTCCTGTTCTCCTTTACATCTTGCCGCCTCAGACCCATCCCTCGTAATCCAATTCTGCACATTGCATATATAAGCACCTTAGATCTTTTTAAGGATGACTGTCCTACCTCCAGAGAGTGCTGTTTCAAGGAAAAGAGTTTACAGAAAAGGAGAAAAACCAATTCTAACATTTATACCCTATGAGATAGACTTTCTTTCTGTCCCCATTTTACAGATTGGGACACTAAGATTCAGAGAAGGAACTTACCCAATCTATAAAATGAGGGCAATAGTAGAAACTACTTCATGGGGTATATAAAGATTAAATGAATAGTACACGTAAAGCACAGAGAACAGATGTGGCGGGTATTGTTAGCTGTTACTATTATCACTGACAACTTCAACAGAAATGTAAAACCAAAAGGACAATTAAGACATTAGATTCCACAAGCCTCCATTATACCAACCTTCTTTAATACAAATGCTAACATGAAAACAAACCTGGGACTTGGAAAACTCCACCACATTATAACTGACGTTATTGAGGAGTGCCAGTGAGTAAACACCCAATCCCGCATCTTTCGTTCTCCAAATCTGATCAAGAAGTTGGGCAAGTTCCAAAACTCGGCCTGCAGTGTCCACTGCTATTAATACATTTCCATCTCCTCGAAGTGTTTCCAGGACATTTGCTAGAAAACAAAGTAAAAATCTCTGTAGAAAATGTCAGTTCTGTGCTACAAAATGATAACTTAATCCCCTAGTTTTCACTATAAAGACTATCATTTAGAAATAAGCCATTACTAGGTTCTGGTGGCATAATGGATAAGGCATTTGACCACTAACCAAAAGGTCAGCAGTTCAAGGCCACCAGCTGCTCCGCAGAACGAAGATGGGGCAATCTACTTCCATAAAGATTTACAGCCTCAGAAACTCAATGGGTTCACTATGAGTCAGATTTGACTCAATGGCAGTGAGTTTGGTTTTTCTTTTTGGTGAGCCAGGTACAAAATTTTAGAAAATGTCATGCAAGATATTACAACTACATTTTATTCTGTTAAATATATCTTCACAGGAGGGACAAACAATGTCATTAATTTTTTTGTTAAAAATTACTTATCAGTAGTGCTCAACCTTTTTCACATCATAGTATACATAGCAAATCATATTCTGGACAGTACACTAGATATATGAATGACTATGCCATACGTAACCAGCCAGGGGTTCCGAGGCTACCTTGGTCTCAACTGTCCACCCTGATGAATGTTATAATTCCTAAATGTGTGTGTATATATGTATGTGTATATAACATATCATTCATATCCATACACACATATATGTAGGTGTGTATTACATATCCATACACATATATTCAATATATGTGTACATATATATAACATATATGTATGCCTATAAATGAGAGCTGTGGTAGCATAGTGCCTAAAACACTTGACTCTGACCAGAAGGCTGGCGGTTCAAACCACCAGCCACTCCTCGGAAGGAAGATGGGGCTATCTACTTCCGTTGTGGTACTTCCTCGGAAACCCAAGGAAGGGTCGCTGTGAGTGGGGTCCAACTCGACGGCACATAACAACAACAACAAAATAGAATAAAAATATAAATCAACTCCCAACAAAATTATCTTTATAAATATATAGATAAAGTATGCTTGGGAGCTCTGGTGGCATAGTACCTAAGGCATTTGACTGCTAACCGGAAGGTAGGAGGTTCAAACCCACCAGCCCCTCCTCGGAAGGAAGATGGGGCAATCTACTTCTGTAGTGATAACTGCCTCGGGAACTCAAGGAGGGGTCGCTATGAATCAGATCTGACTCAATAGCCATGAGTTAGTGAGTAAAGTATGCTTGGAAACATTTGGTAAAATCAAACTCTAGCAAGCAGCAACGGACCAGAAGCAGCCCTTGGGAACCACAGCCACCTGACCAACACATGAAACTCCACTGTCAAAATGAGTGCAATTGCACTCATAATTATCTCTTTTGGTCATTTTCTTTTAGAGTGTAAGTGGTTTTCTAATAGATTTGTTTGAGGTCTTTATGTATTTTGGCATTCTCTAGACAGATACCAGAGAGTGCCAGGGAGAGCTAGCTGTGTGCTAGATGGCAGAGAGAAGCCAATCTTTACAACTATTCTACAGAAATTAAATTCAAATGAACTAAAGCATTTCCTTATATAAAATATTATTATGACCACACACTATTTTTAAGAAGCATCATCTATAAGAGTTAAGCAATCTCTTCTGATCAAGGAAAGTGTTAAACAGTACAGAACAAAGAGCAGTTGGTAGTTCCACGCACTCCACTGCTCTGTACAAAGGGCATTATGCACAATACATACTCAGAAGTTGCTCGTCTCTCTGCTTTCGTCTAGGCTGCACGTAAGTAGCATTAAATGAATCTGTGATAAGTAGAGAGGGTCTGCTTAGCATTTCCAGGGAACATCCATTTAAGTGGCTATAAAAAAATTTTATAAAAAGAATATATCATTTCAAATAAACAGTTAATAGCATCTCTTACCTAAAATAAGCAACTTCCTTAAGAGGCTTCTTCTTCCCCCAACTCAAAAAAGTCTGTATGTTCACTGATTAGAAAATCTACCACCACTCTGAGACAGTTGATCTAATAAGGGTGCACTCCCTTCTACACATCTAAATAATGGTTTGTATGCTGATAGAAATGTGTTTCACAAAGTTGCTATCCTATGTTGTTGTTGTTGTTGTTGTTATGTGCCATCAAGTCGGACCCGACTCATAGCGACCCCTCCTTGGGTTTCCGAGGCAGTATCACTACGGAAGTAGATTGCCCCATCTTCCTTCCG